TATATATATATATATATATATATATATATATATATATAAAATTATAATTGGCATTCCATATTATTCAGATTCAGCTTCAGGTGTACACTGACTGCAGTGGCCAGGCACCTACACCGTCCATGAAGTGGTCTCCCTAATAAGACAAGTGTCCATCTGACACCCTACAAAACAGATATGAAGACGTTTTATATGGACCAGCAAAAGACCTATAACAGACAGAAAGTTTTGAAGAAAGTCAAGACATAAGGTTGGGGCCAAAGGAGCAGGGAGCTTCCCTAGCCAGATCTGAAGACTTTTTATATCACAGGTATACTAATCCAGGCAGTGTCATATTTGGGCACGATAAACAATTAGAACAGACCCACACATATGTGGAAGGCTGATATATTTATGTTTATCCATTCACTCTTCAAATATATATAGAACACCTACCATATGTCAGGTAGTGCTCTATAAGAAGAAGTTAAGCAGTGAAAAGAGAGGCAAAAACAGATAAAAAGTCTCCGATTTCATAAAAATGTTGTTGTAATGTGGGGTAACAGCCAAGCTTTTTTTCCCCAGCAGAGGAGTCCTAACCCCTCCATCTTTGACCCCCTGTCCCCAGCCAACCCAGATGACCTGCACTTTTTAGTTAGCGAGCCTGCTATGTCCAAACCCTTGACCGTGGCCACCCACCGTCGCCTTCCTCTTCTGTTCTAGCTGACTTGGTTTCTCATCTTCCTTCTTTCTCTCCATCTAGATCTCAAAGTAAAACCCTTTTCCTTTTTAATTGTTTGTACTCTCATTATTTTTAGGATGAAATTCCCACCAGTCCTCCTCAACCTCCCCCCCATCACCTGTCTCAATATGGAGAAGCAGCAAATGGTAACAGAACTTCCAGAGGCCTTGGCATCAGACGGACCTGGGCTCAAACTCCAACTTGACCACTGTATGGACTTGGGCAAGTTACTGAATCTCTCTGAGCTTTGGTTCCCTCATCTGTACAACAGAGATTTCAACAGCTACTTCTCAGGGCTTCAGGAGAAATACGTGTATGCAGTGTCTAAAACCTAAGTGATGGAAAATAAATGGAATCTATTCTTATTGTTGTTACTTTCATTATTATCATTTCAATCTGCTGATGATCCCTTTCTGGACTTCCCCTTACCATGTTCCCGATCATCATCCTCTCCCTTCTTTGTCAAGGGCATCGGGGCATTGATCCATAACCCCAACTGCTGTCTCTCTTGGCCAAGTCCATTTGGTTACCAAAGAGTTTCCCTTCATCCCATTCACTTGACCCATGGGTCACATTATTTACTGAAAGCCAATTGCAACTAAATGCGACTGGGAGACATTCCGATAACCAAGCCACTGCCTCCTCTGACCAAAGGGAAAATGCAGATGGTTTTGCCCCAACAGGAGTGCGGACGTCAGGGGCTTATCAGTGATTTCAAGGACGAGGCCCCGCTTGTCCTCACTAACCTGCCGCCCTGGTCCAATTCTCTAAAGAACTCGGTGCCCCGGGGGAGGATCCAGCACAGCTGCGGCTGCACAGAACAGCTCTGCAGAAACGGCCGCCTCCCTTGCCAGAACAGGGAGGAAAACCAGGCCTCTGGGGCTCTGGGCCAGAGGAATTTCAAAAGCCTTCTCTCCACTGGGTCAGCCAATCCCCTGAGTCCACAGGACCTCCCCAGCCTGCTTTCCCCCTGTCCTCTCTGAAGAGTCCCAGCTCCTCAACAAGCTGGCTCACACTGATTCTGCCCCCTTGCCCACCCGAAACCCCTCCCATTCCCATCCCCAGCCTGCAACTGGCTCTTTCCTCTGTATGAAGGAATCTAGCATAGTCCTTCCCATCCTGACCTGTTGCCCTGAAAGGCACGGATGGAGAGATACTTCTTCACTGAACAACTGCCTTGATAGCAACTACATTTGAAGACAAAAGAGGAGGGACCACCCATTTTCAGGTCTTTCCAAATTCTCTGTGATTGGGCCCTTGTCATTAGGACTCAATTAGCAGAGCTGCTAGCAGTACCATGGTCAACTCTCAGGCAGGCTGTACTAGATATGCCCACTCTTTTACAGAAAACCTACCTGCTCTGCCCACTGGCCTAAAAGAGGCAGATCTAACCTCCCAGGTGACCCTAACTGTATGAGCCACCACTGATTAGATCATGAGTGAACAGTTGACCCAAAAGGAGCCAATGCATTGGCTAGGCAATGGCCTCTGACTCATGTGGCCCAGCTCAGACAAACGAGCAATCAGATTTCTCTCATCAATTATGTGTCAAGAGACACACAAACCTATTGCTATCAGTGGTGTCTGGGAAGCCACTAAAGCCACACGCAAGATGAGCAAGCAGAGTAATCTGGCTAAGACAGAGGAGAAGAGAGCAGAAATATGGACAGAGCACAGATGGAAAGGCCATGTGGAGGCTGAGGAACAGAGAACCCTCAGTTTCGGGTCTCAGCTCCCAGCAACACCTGTGAGCCTGATACAGCCTTTCATCTTTGTCCTGTGAGATTCTTCCACAAACCCTTATTAACAAGTCCCTTCTGACTGGAGCTAGCTCAAACAAGGTTTTGTTACTTTGCAACCAAAGCAATCTTGACTGAAACATAATTTCTCCAAAATAGATGCCTATGTCTAAAAAAATTCATCAAGACCTGCCTTATTATAGTTTGAGTCTCCTTTTAGTTAGTCTATAAAAAAAAGCATAGCTACCACTTAGCGAATTCTTTCTTTTGTGCCAGGCAGTGTGCTAAGGGCTTCTCACGCATTATGTCATTTCTTCTCATAGTAGCCCTATGATGTGCTATTGTTCTTCCTGTTTGACATGTAAGAAAACAGTAGAAAGACTGAAGTAAAATTGCCCAAGGTCATGCACTTTCCAAGTGGCAGACCCAGCTTCTAAGTCTAGCTGGTATGTTTCCAAGTCTGTACTCTTATCCATACCCAGGATGTTGTCGCCTACATAATCTGACAAAGCAGGATGAGCCATGTCACTGCTACCTGCAGGCGCGTGGTGACAAGCCTCCAGAAGCTCTCCTGGGAATGACCATAAACCCCAGTGCTACAAGCCAACGGGGATGCCCAAGGTGGGACTGAGAATTATGGAAACAACGACAGATATCGTTCACAACTTCCTGGCGCCCCACACAGGTGGGTCCCAAAGGACATCAGTCATGTACAAATCCCACCTCTGGCTCACAACAGGCTTTTGAAAGGAAATGTGGAATCAAAAGCATGTGAGGAAAGGCAACTATGCCTGCAAAATTACCTACAGCACTGCTGACCTTTTGAGGAACGGTTTTCAAATATATTAATTAATAGAGAGATCAATTTGTTGTTGTTGTTTTTTAAATCTTCCCCAATTTATCCCCTATTAAACCTAACCATCATTTAAAATTAACATTTTCTAAAATAATTTCCTGGGGAAGATTTCCACTGTTAGGCTTCTGTGTCAATGCCATACAACCCACAAAACTTGTTTATTCATGTAGAAAAAGATAAAAAATAAATGCAGGTTGACACTTTAAGGAAGTATAAATGGCAGCAAAGTATTGAATGAGATGTTCGAGCCCCAATTCTAATCAACCACTATTGATTGTTCCTTTGGAGTATCTTCTAGAAATGGCGCTAAATAAGGATGTTTTCTTTAAAACACGTTTACCTTTTCAGGGCAGATGAATGACTGATATTGGGGGTCCGTGCCTGGGAGGCAAGGCAACGAAAAAGGCAAATAGTAATGAAATGTGCCCTAGAAGTTGTTTTTCTAAACTAGAACTGTAATTACAGAGCTACTAAAGATGTGAAGTATGTAGTGAAGGCTTTGTCAGCACTTTAATTGTAAAACTTAGTGAGATTCGTCATTTTAGTCATTCCCATTCTATGCCAAAAACAGAAGACAGCTGTTTGTGCTCTAAAAACTGTTTTTTAAAGGAGAGTTCTCTGTGTTTATCAAGTGTATTTTGCCACTGGGGAAATGTATTTTAAAGCTTTTGCCCCGTCAAAATGAAGTGAGTAGGAATGATTGCTTTAACTGTTATTCTTAGATAACTACAGGAAGCTTGAACACGTGGAAAAGCCATGCATGACACGAAATATCTGGGCACACAAATATTCCAATTTCCATCTCCTCCTGCGGAGAGGTCTTCCTGATGGCACTGGTAAGTCCCTAAATTCATTATCTGAGCTAGAGATACTGCAGAAGTATTTAGAGGCTGTTCTGTGAGG